CTTTGCTCCCGGTGCCTCTGGTCTGCTGGGGACCATCTCCAGCAGACCAGGGACACCGGGAGCAAAGGAGGCGGAGGGGCGCTGGGGTATAAGATGAAACCCTATCTTTTAATTAAAAAGATAGGGGGTCGTCTTATACGCCCAGTCGCCCTATACGCCGGAAAATACGGTAAGTCTGATTCGTCAAGAGCTAATGTAAATGATTTCTTAAAACTTTTAGCTTTCCACAAGGAGTTAAATGTAGAGTCAAAAATAGGAAGTCTAAAGTTAGACCTACAGGACTAGATATGAAGCCGATGTAAATTGCCATAGCTCAGCTGACTTCAAGAGCTACACTGATTTACACTGGCAGAGGATCTGGCCTGAGAGATGTGTCTTGGTTTGTGGGATCACATGCACATTCCTTCTCTCTCCCTCATCTGCCTGACTACTCTGGTTTTGTAGAGGTCAGGGATTGACGTTCATGAGAAGGCTGTGCAGGTTTAGATAATATAATAAATTAGATTCTTTTGACATATTTTTAGACAACATTGAGCAAACTGGATGTTAATTTATGGCATGTTTCCAGGAATAAGCTAAGCAGCCTTTAAACTCACTGATACAACTTTTGAGCATCCTACCAAAATTTTGTATTTATCATTTGTCAACTCCTCAGAACATTTCAGATTTCGACACATCAAATTGCCTGAAATTTCATGAGTGATTTATTTGCAAAAGAAAATTTTTTTTGATAAGTTGTGGTGCTAACTGGACAAGATCTTGTGATTGTTCAAAATGTCATTTACTAATTTGCAAAAGTTTCCTAGCTTTTTTGCCATGTCTCAGAACTGCTTACAAACTCCAACTTGATTCATTCTGTCCCCCTCAACAAGGATGAAAGCTTTTATTTTTGTCCACTTTCTTCAATTAGTTTGGGAATTACTGAATTATCTTTTATCAACGAGAGGGACACATCACAGAGTTCATGAATCCTACTTTATATACATCGAAGTTACAGATGTCTGCACACTGATGACTACTTAAAATTTCCACACAGACCCACAGGGATCATGGTTTCACACTTGTAAGTGCTCTCTTTTTTGTTGGTTTCTCTCTGCTCTGAGCAGTATTATCTCCAGTGACACCAGGTTTCTAGACACCAAACTCAAGAAGAAGTGGCCTCATAAAACTCGGGAAATTCTGTCCACCTCCTCTACAATCCTCATTACTGTTTGACCTTCAGCTATGGTCTTGAGATCACTATTCTCTCACAGAGAAGTCTAGCATTTAAACTACAGTCTGAGCCCACTGAAGACAAAGATCTGATCATCTTCTGCACTTACGTTACAGGCCATAGATCATGTCTCACTTAATGTTCTCTGCATATGAGCCACACTAGATTCTGTCCCATGTGCCACTCGACACTTTCCCAGTACCAGTCAGACACTGCAGTCAATAGGTGCAGAAGATCATGGTTCTCACTTTTTGGAGGATCCACCCTTCACTTAGGCTAAGTGACATATTCATAGGCATTAGTCTGAAAAGGCTGTTGGAGTTCAATACACCACCCTGCACCAACATTTCATGAGCAATCAGCATCTTGGTGCAAAGGTAGCTTTAATGAAACCCCCTAACTTACCATAACAACTGCTGGTAAAAGTACTGAACTCTCATTTGATGCTTTGTCCTGTTTCTTAGCCACCTTAACCTGGAAACAAAGAAAGTCTGGTCAGGGTGAATCCCCCATATCACACATGTAGGTCTGCAACAGCTATGGGTGCTCATCTGAGCACCAAGCAAGCCAGACAAACACTTAGAAGACCTACTATAATGGAAGAGCAAAGTAAAATTCTTTCTGGGTTTCACTTTGTTTCTTGTACATATCTGAGTACAATGTGTACTGACAGTGTCTTTTTTGTGAAGGTTCTTCATTGGACAAAGGGTATAAGAAAATGTGTGTTTAAAACAAAATTTATGTTGTCAGAAAACTATGATCATGTGAAATTATTTTTAACTTATCTTTTGAAACTGACTAGACTTCAGCTTAGAGGTGAGAACACTCATACCTGGTGCAAGAGATTCCTAGTTGTCCTGCATGTCCCAAGTTTACAATTCTCTTAGTTAGGTTCTCCTTAGCAATAGGACACTCTGCACTGGGGGATAATGCTTTCAGTTTGTTTTTTGGATCCACACAACAGGGAGCTGCTGGAAACGCCCTCATTTGATGCTTCAGCTTCTTCCGCGCCGCTACCACTTCCCTCCATCTTGAAAAGATAAAATTCATGTATGTTATATTAGTTAACTCTCACATTTTCACAGATTTCATATTCAGAATTATTTTTCATTTTTAACTTCCTGCAGCTACTTTGGGGCCTTACTTTAGCAGTCAGGAAAGGAGAGATCACTTACCTTACAGTACTCTGAGTTCGAGATGTTTGCCCCATGTGCCTGTGAGCTCTTGGTTGGAGACTGCAAAGTGTAAGAAGTGGGAGTGCACCAATCAGGATGTGGAGGGGCCAGAGTCAGAGCAGGGGGTGAGGTGCTACAGTCAGGACAGGGGGTGGGAAGTGCAAGACTCAAGGGCAGGGGACTGGGAGGCCGCTGGGGGGAGGAGTTTACCAGGGCCGCCCGTGACGGCAAGGCTGGTGCTACTCTGGCAGCAGCTCCCCCAGGGGACTGGGGCTGCACTGTTCAGCCATTAGCTCTTCCTGAATGGCTGGGGCTGCACTCCCTAGTTGGTGGCTCCCCCCGGGGGGCCAAGTCTGGCCCCAGACTTCAGCTCTACTCATGCCCTGCAGCTAGTTTGAGAGGGGCAGGGCTCCAGGGGCTGACCCTGGCCTCTAGCTGCACCCATCACCTTGCAGTTGGTCTTGGAGGGTGAGGGGCGACAGCAGCCCCCTTGCCCTGCAGTTGATCTGGGTGGCAGGACTCTGGGAGCCAGCTCCAGTTGCCTCCCGCCTGCAGCTGTCTAGGTCCAGGTGTCTCCTCAGGAGGGGGCAGAGTTCCCCACCCCAGACTCTCTATGAGGGGAGCCATAGCATGTTGCCTGGCTTGGGTGTGGTCCGGGGAGAGCCCCCAACTAGCAGGCCTCTCCTCCACCCCATCTGGCACTTCTTGGGGCAGAGGGGGACCCTTACTTGGTCCAGTGGCCAGCCACATGGAATCCCATTTCCAGCTGGCCACTTTCCTGCTGGTGCGGCTTGCACCGGTCGTCACTCTGCAGAACAGCTGTCCTGCATGCTTGATGCCCCCAATGGTCACTCAGCAGTATCACTGTCCTCTGATCAGCCCCCTCCCTTTCCATGTTATGGAAAACAGTCCCATTCCAGGCACTTCCCACTTTCCTGACAACCAAACTCTGGCCTTGCTTTGATTTATGTTAAGAGGAAGCTGCTTAACAAATTTGGTGGTCCTAGCTCTTACTGTTTAGGAGTTATTGAACAGATGGACGCACTCAAAGGCAGACAGATACACAAACTCTCTAAAATATAGAGATACACCTAGGTTTTTTGTTTGTACTGGTGGTGCACATCACCTTGATATTGATGCTGCTTGTAACAAAATTAATTCTGCACATGGATAGAAAAAATTAGAGGGAACCTTGGTAGGGAGTCCACCTCTAGGCTGAGAATGCTGTCTTCAGAGTGGTCCCTGAGTTAGGATTGGGACAGGTGAGGTGGATGATGCAGCTTCATGAACTTGCTTGTATAGCCATGCTGAATGACATTCAAGACTCACTTTTCCATAACCACACCCCAAGCTGAGAAAAGGAGTGCTTGGTTCCCCTCCAAAGATGGTGGACTGGATATACTCTCTAGTGGCACTCAGAAATATTGCTTCGGAGAGCACGACAAGTGAGAAGATGAAGACTGTGAAGGCAGGCCAGGAGGCAGAATTGTGGGGTTTTCTGGCACTTACAAAGAGGCTTGTATGGCCTCTGCTGGAAGAACTAGCGAGTGCTGAATCACCACACCAGCAGATGGCAGTAGAACATTCACTGGGGTGCTGATGCATTGATACCCAGTGATCTCAGTATGGCCCTGGAGTTCTTGAGGGACTGGCTGGATGCATTGGTTTTCTGATTAAACAGGTGTGGCTCACTGAAAAGATCTTTAATGGCATCCTACGCTTCTCAGGAAAAAAGAGATAAGTCATCACAAATCTTGTTGCATGGCAACTCCTATGCCACTGACCAATTGAAGAACTGTTCTAGCCACCAGCTTGCCCTCATCCAACAAAGACTGGAAACAAGCCTGATACTGCCAAGGCAGTTTGTCAGCAAAGTCCTCTCATAAGCCATAGTTTATGAATTCATATGTGGCCAATGAGACCTGGTAATTTAAAAATCAGAATTAGAAACTTTCAGAAGAAAAGACCTTACGGCACAGAAGATCCAAGTGCTTTATTTCCTTATCTATGAGAGTAGATTGAGGGTTTTGCTGTCTGAAGGGCTCTGCTGCAGCCTGCATCAAGACAGAATTGGGCAGAGGGTGTGGAAAAAAAACCAAAACCCTCCTACCTCTGGGCTAGTACAAAGCTTCTCTTTTCATCATCTGGGGACAGGGAGGTGTGCAAACAGCTAGGGTATACCAAAATGTTCAAGCTGGATGAAGAATAGCATTGCTGATCTGAGGACAACACTGCCCATTACACCAAGGAGTGAGAAATGTCCACAAGTGGACGCTGCTTGTCCTGCACTTCCTCCAGTGGAATATAGGGGCATAGAAGTGTACACACAGGGCCCCTCCTCCCACACCTGTATCAGAAGTAGCAGCATGACATAGGAGAAGGAGGAGAAGCAGGAGATTCTGTGCATGGGAAGCAGGCTTTTAAGCCAGTTCCCCATGGGCACTGGTTCCTGGGGAGACATCTGCCCTCCCCACCGTGCTGTTGCTGTTGGGGGGAAGCATGGCAGGCAGCTTCCCGGGAGTCACCCTCCCACCATGTAAACATGTAAGCACTAACATTTTCATGCACATGTAATCAATTTGTGGTAGTAGTGCACATGCTGTAGCCATCTTGCGCTGCTCTGCTGGTTACATAGCAGTTTGCAGCCAACCATTTCCCTGTTCCTTCAGAAATTCCGAAGTAGAGGTAAGGGGGGAGGGCAGTGGAGCACTCACAGGGACAACCATCTGGAAGAATCTCAGTTATTGTACAAGGTAACGGTCTCCTCTTCTTTGAAAATGTCCCCTAGGGTACTCTACTTTAGGTGACTGTTGAGCAGTGCCTCTATATGGAGGGGAGGGCTTAGAAGTTGGACTAGTGACAACAGATAACACCATAAGTCCGAAGAGAGCATCTGATGCTGACCGATGTTCTAAAGCAGGGCTACTCGACTTTGGAAGCCCCGGGGGCCAGAATGATACTCACAGCACATGCCGAGGGCCGCAACTTAAATGTGGTTCCATAGACATGAAAGTGTATATGCAAATAGCTTCTTTTACACCGACGGGCCTGAATACAAAGCACTTCCCACAATGCCCCGGCTCCCCCTCCGTGGGGGCCGTATTCTCAGTGGAGGCCATGTTCAAATGATCCCAGCTGCGGGCCGCATGTTGAGCCCCACGTAAACCCAAACCATACCATGGGCCTCAAACAAATGGGCTATGGGCCACATGTGGCCCACGGGCTGCATATTGGGTAGCCTTGTTTTAAAGCATAGTGTTTAGTGAAAGCAGGGACTACTTTGTAGCTACCAAGTAGCTACTCTGCAAATATCAGTGCTGGGTCACAGATGCTGCCCCTGCTCCCGCAG